TGGGTTTTTTGGGTTTTTTGGGGTTTTTGGGTTTTTGGTTTGGGGTTTGGGGGGTGTTGGTTATTGGGGTTTCTGGTTTTGGGGCTTTGGGGGCTACAAACCTGAGACCGACGCCCCTTTTCCAGCCCAGATCTTCCAAGCCCCTTAGTTAAGGAATATACCCTATTTCATAATACGATCCTGAGTATAAGTTAGGGCATATTCCTTACTTAAGGGGTTTAGGGTTTAGGGTTTAGGGTTTAGGGTTTAGGGAAGATCTGGGAGTAGGCCGCCGCAAGTCGCTCTTTTCCGCAAGAGCGGCTCGCCCCCCGAAAGCTTAGTCGGCTGCAAGCCGCATTGGTTGGTTAAGGGTTTAGGGTTTAGGGTTTAGGGTTTAGGGTTTAGGGTCTAGGGTCTAGGGTCTAGGGTTCAGGGTTTAGGGTTTAGGGTTTAGGGTTTAGGGTTCGGGTTTAGGGCACCCTGAGCCCCAAAACCTAAACCCTGAGAACCCTGAGAACCCTGAAGCCCTGAAACTCCGAGGCCCTGAAGCCCTGAAACCCTGAAACCCTGAAACCCTGAAACCCTGAAACCCTAAACCCTAAACCCTAAACCCTCAACCCTAAAATCCCTAAACTCTGAAACCCCAACACTTGTGGCGCGCCAAGCAGCTCAAGGTGCAATGCCTCGGGCAACGTGCTGGGTGACGCAGTCGAGGCACAGCCTTGTAACACCCTTTATCTGGGTTTTGGGGTTTTGGGGTTTTGGGGTTGGGGTTTGGGATTTGGGGCTTTGGGGTTTTTGGGAGTTTTGGGGGTTAGGGTTAGGGATTTGGGTTTTTGAGGTTTTGGGGTTTTGGGGTTTTGGGGTGTTGGGAGGTTTTGGGTTTTGGGGTGTTGGGAGGTTTTGGGTTTTTTGGGGTTTTGGTTTTTTTGGGGTTTTGGGGCTTGGGGTTTTGGGGCTTTGGGGTTTTGGGGCGTTGGGGTTTTGGGGTTTTGGTGTTTTGGTGTCGCAGCAAACCCGAAGTCCCAAATCCCTTCCCCACGACACGCGCAGACCCGCCGCCGCAGTGCTTGAACTCGTTTGACCCTGCGCCTTTCCGCGTTAGGGTTCATGGTGTAATTAGGGTTCACGCTTTAATTAGGGGTTATACCCTGCCATTGGGGGGGGGGGGAGGATTTAGAACCCGGTAATTTGCATGGCTCGGGGTTGCCGGAAAACCTTCGTAGGCGAAGTTCGCAACCCTAAGCCCTAAACCCCAAACCCAAAACCCAAAACCTCAACCGTCCCCACAAGAGACGCCAACAATACCCCGAACATTCCTAAACCCTATAAACCCTAAAAACCCTAAACCCCCAAAACCCTAAACCATAAACCCCTAAGGGAACTTCCTTAGATTGTATTAGGGGTCCTAGGATTTTCCTTCATCAAGGAGCATGTGAGCATCTTGGAGAATCCCGAACCCTTAAACTCCTGAACCCTAAGCCCGAAACTCTGAATGCACCCTGCTCCCTAAACCCTAAACCCTAAACCCTAAACCCTAAACCCTAAACCCTAAACCCTAAACCCTAAACCCTAAACCCTAAACCCTAAACCCTAAAGCCCAAAGCCTAAAGCCTAAACCCTAAACCCTAAACCCTAAACCCTAAACCCTAAACCCTAAACCCTAAACCCTAAACCCTAAACCCTAAACCCTAAACCCTAAACCCTAAACCCTAAACCCTACACCCTACACCCTAAACCCTAAACCCTAAACCCTAAACCCCAAGCCCTAAACCCGAAACCTAAGCTTGGACTTTAGCTTTCTGGGTTTTGGCAGAAAGTACAATAAGGCGCCGGAAAGTTAGACTTTTCGGAGGGGTTCAGAAGTCAGCCAAGCAAGCCTTGCTAGGGTTCCCAGGTATGCTAAGGGGAACCGCATCCTTCAAGCCAGGCTACCGCCCTTGTGCGGGCCTACCGTTTGGCAGCCGCGGGCGAGGCGGCACCGCTTCGGAACGTCGAGCGTTGTCCCTAGACCCCAAACCCCAAACCCTAAACCCTAAACCCTAAACCCCAAACTCCACACCCCGAACCCTAAACCCTAAACCCTAAAACCGACACCTGAAAACCTAAACCCTTTAGACGTTGTAGTTGTGAAGAGTTAGAGAGGTTGGGCCTTTAGGTGTTTTTGCTGATTCTTTTGGGTTTTTTGATGTTTTGGGTTAAAAAGCATTTTGCGTGGTGGGGTTTAGGGCTTTCGTGGGATCAGGGTTTGGGGGTCAGATGCTCCGGCGTTCAAACCCGAAACCCGAAACCCTAAGCCTTCAACGCTACGACAACGTGGAAGGTCCCACTAGCTTGACGGTTCCTCGAATGCACGGGTTGCTTCTTCGTAGGATGTTCGGAAGTGAGGTGCGCTTAAAGGGTTTGGGTTTTAGGGGCCCCTCACAAAACCTACTTCCCTACGAAGAACCCTAAACCCTAAACCCTAAACCCTAAACCCTAAACCCTAAAACCCCAAAACCCTAAACCCTAAACCCTAAACCCTACTAAGAGCTCGTAAGTATCGATCCTCGTCGAGGACACCGAGGAGGAAGAAGTTCTGGGGCTGCTCGCTGCCAAGACGAACATCGGCCCCTGGGATGTCGTTGTAGGGTTTGAGGGTTTAGGGTTAGGGTCTAGAGGTTTAGGGGTTCAGGGTTTAGGGTTCCGGGTTTCAGTGTTTAGGGTTTAGGGTTCAGGGTTTAGGGTATAGGGTTCAGGGTCCAGAATCAACTTTACGATTTCGATGGCGGGGTTGAAAGTGTACCGGGGGGGGGGGGGGGGGGGGGGGGGGCTGTGCGAAATTGGAACGTGCTTTTTTTTTGAACTTCCGCCAAGGTTCTCAATCGCAGAGGCTTGTGCGACAGAATTTCAGGGGTTGCTGCTTAGTAGCTGAGTGAGTACACTATACACTTTTTGGGTTACCAGAACCCCCTATAGAACTGAAAGTGTCCCCTTTGCTGGGGCTTACGAACTCTGCAACTAAGAAGGTATACTTGTTTAAGGTTTAGGGTTTAGGGTTTAGGGTTTAGGGTTTAGGGTTTAGGGTTCAGGGTTCAGGGTTCAGGAACTCTTTGAGGCGTCAAGGTCCTGCAGCCGCCCACCACCAAACCCCAACTTCCCCAAGCCTAAACCCGAAGCCCCTAAGCCCCTAAAACCTCCAGCCCCTGAACCCCTAGACTCTTCAAACCCCTAAGCCCTCCCCCAAACCCTAAACCCTAAACCCTAAACCCAAAACCCAAAACCCAAAACCATAAACCCTAAACCCTAAACACTAAACCCGAAACCCTAAACCCTAAACTCTTGAGGCCATATGCGGCCGGCTGCGGGTGTGGCGGCCCTCCTGAGGGTCATCGTTGGACAGGTGCCACCCCAGCTAGGGTGCAAGGGGTTCAAGGGGTTCAAGGGGTTTAGGGTTTAGGGTTTAGGGTTTAGGGATAATCGAGTTTAGGGTTTAGTGTTTAGGGTCTAGGGGTTTTAAGGTTTGTAGGGGTTCAGGGTTTGAGGCTTTAGGGTTTAGGGTTTAAGGGTTTTCAGGTGTATGGGGGTTTTAGGGCTTTTGCGCCTTAGTTTTTTTTCATTATGGTTTTAGGGGTTCAGGGTTTTGGGGTTTTAGGTTTTAGGGGCCTGGGTTGTTGTTTTTTGGTTTTGGGGTTTGTGGTATTCAATTAAATTCGGGGGTTCTCGCAGTGTTGTGTCGAGCGTGTTTTGGTCCTCCTGCCCCCCACCCCCCCCACCCCCCCCCCCCCCACCCCCCCACCCCCCCCACCCCCCCACCCCCCACCACCCCCACCCCCCCACCCCCCACCCCCCTCACCGCCCCCCCACCCCCCCACCCCCCCCCCCACCCCCCCCACCCCCCCACACCCCCCCACCCCCCCACCCCCCCACCCCCCCACCCCCCCACCACCCCCCCCCCCACCCCCACCCCCCCCCCCCCCACCCCCCCACCCCCCACCCCCCCACCCCCCCACCCACCCCACCCCCCACCCCCCACCCCCCCCACCCCCCCACCCCCCCACCCCCACCCCCCCCCCCCCCCCACCCCCCCACCCCCCCACCCCCCCACCCCCCCCCCCACCCCCCCACCCCCCCCACCCCCCCACCCCCCCACCCCCCCACCCCCGCCACCCCCACCCCCCACCCCCCACCCCCCCACCCCCCCACCCCACCCCCCCCCCACCCCCCCCACCCCCCACCACCCCCACCCCCCCACCCCCCCACCCCCCCCCACCCCCCACCCCCCCACCCCCCCCACCCCCCCCCACCCACCCCCCCCCCCTCCCCCACCCACCCCCCCCCCCGACCCCCCCCCAACCCCCCTCCCACCCCCCACCACCCCCCCCCACCCCCCCACCACCCCACCCCCCACCACCCACCACCCCACCACCCCCCCACCCCCCCACCCCCCCCCACCCCCCACCCCCCCCCCCCCACCCCCCCACCCCCCCACCCCCCCACGCCCCCCACCCCCCCACCCCCCCCCCCCCCCACCCCCCCCACCCCCCCCCCCACCCCCCCCCCCCCCCCCCACCCCCCCACCCCCCCACCCCCCCTCCCCCCCCCCCCCCACCCCCCCCACCCCCCACCCCCCCACCCCCCACCCCCCCACCCCATCCACCCCCCCTCCCTCCTTGCTTTATGGGTAGACCCAGGAGTCTAACTCACCCTGAGAAAAAGGCTTTGGATCCTAGGCGGATCCTGGGGTGGGTCGGGGGGGGGGGGGAGGGGGGTAAGGGTGAACCCTAAACCCTACCCCTTAAACCCTAAACCCTAAACCATATTCCTTTTGTGAGAGTAGGATCCCTTCATTTAAGCACAAGTTTCTGCTTCGATCGGTCTCGGATACTTCGCGGGGGACTCTCTGCGGCTTCACATCCTGGGATTTCTGATTCGGGAAGAGGTGAGGAGAATAGCTGACGTAGAATCCAACTACGTACCCCACCCCGTGGGCGTCGGGTTTCATGAGGGTTCACAACCTCTTCTCCTTTTACAACGAGAAGATGCAGTTCCAACGGCGGCTCGGCAGGATTACCGCAGATTTTGCAAGGGGTTCACGGTGTGACACATTGCGCTCTGAAGCAGACCGAGGAAGGAAGCAGAGGACGGCCATCCGTATCGGCGGGACTATTTGCGGTGGGTGGCAGTGGTACATGTCGCAGAAAAGGAACCAGGTTCATCGACGACATTGCACGTGCGGCTGGTCAACGTCTTTGGGAGGTGAACTCTGCAAGCATTCGCCGTGAAGCCGTGGGACACGATCACCGAGGGGCACAGTCGGTAGATGTCAAGGCGATCTCACAAGCCAAACAGTCGTTGCGGCAATTCACCAAACAGGGACATACGTCCATCGTGGAGAACCCTAAACCCTAAACCCTAAACCCTAAACCCTAAACCCTAAACCCTAAACCCTAAACCTTAAACCCTAAACCCTAAACCCTAAATTCAACAACGACAACAACTACGCCATCTACGCGGTCCGGAATGGTTGGACACGCCGATTGCTCTCCATACAGGATTGTGTTGCGGGTGCCTAGCTTCCCAACCAAGGAAGAAGTTTAGGGTCTCGGGTTTAGGTCTTAGGGTTTAGGTTTTAGGGTTTAGGGTTTGGGGTTTAGGGTGTTCCAAAGTGCCGCGGTCCCGACCCGCGCCAGTGGTGGCGGGTCGGGCCGCCTCGGTGCAGCGGATCCCACCCCAGCCACCCAAACTGCCGCCTTTTTCGGGTTTAGAGCGGTCTACCCTCCACGGCCCCCCTATCAAGGGGGCCTACTGTACACCTCGAGTCTCCCCGCTGGCCGGGGTGGGACGTGTTGACTGCTGCTGTTGCTTGAGCGTACACTTTCCTGGATCAACAGGGAGCGGGACAATCTGTTTCACCCATACTGTGTTTAAGACACCCTCAAGCCCAATTCCGGACCCAAGCTCATTCATATGGCAGAATGGCGAGGGCCAAGCGCGGAAGGCCCGGCCACCCGCTGGCGCAAGGGCCTTGGCGGGGGCAACTGCGGGGGCGACCCTGGCGGGGGCGACCCTGGCGGGGGCAACCCTGGCACGGGCAACCCTGGAAGGGGCGAGGCGAGGTTTTTTTGTATAAAAAACACTTTCTTATTTCTCTCTCTACATATATATATATATATATATGTCCACCTTGGCGGGGGCAACCCTGGCGAGGCCCTGGCGACTACTAAAGGGAAACCCTGGCAATTAATTAATAGAGAACTTTGACAGCACCCTTCGCACTTGAAGCCCTGCTCGGCAACTAAACAACACTTCATAGAGAAGGACGACGAAGCCTCGCCAGCGCGCGAAGAGGACGAGGTGCGTAGGGCCGTCGCAGAGAAGGTGCACAATTCCTGAGTAGGCGACGTGAGGAGGCGGGAAACCCTGACAAGGCAACCCGGCGAGGGCAATGTCACCCTGGCGGGGGCAACCCTGGCGGGGCAACCCTGCCAAGGGCAACCCTAACTCGGCGGCAACCCTGGCAGGGGCAACGCTGGTGGGGGCAACCCTGGTGGGGGCAACCCTGGCAGGGGTAAAACTGGGCAACCCGGCGGGGTTGCGATAAAAACCGTTAAATCTACTGGACGTCTTAATTTTAAAATAGAATGACATTGAAAGACTTCTCATAAAGTAAAATAAGATGAAAGATAATGAATCCTGCATTTCTATTTGGTTACAGCTTTTAGCATAGCATATTGGCATAAGAAATACCATTCAGGTACGATATGTAAGGGAGTAAGTAATCCACATGCTTCTACTGCATTCACTGGATGTGAGAAAGAAGAGAAGCCGAAATGAATTTGAAGAAGATATAGATCGAGAATTAATATCTTTCCATAGAAATCTTTACGAATAATGAGAGAAAAAATGCCCTTTTATTATTAGTGGAATTCCTTAAAGGAATATTAGAAGATAGAAAATGTAGATTAAAAATATGAAAAATGGCGGGGACAACCCTGGGGCATCCTGGCGGGCAACCCTGGCGGGGGCAACCCTGGCGGGGCAACCCTGGCGGGGGCAACCCTGGCGGGGGCAACCCTGGCAGAGGCCACCCTGGTGGGGGCGAACCTCGGAGACAACCCTGGTGGGGGCAACCCTGGCGGGGGCAACCCTGGCAGGGGCAAGGTGAGGTATAAACATATTTAGAAATAAATGTCTGGACCCTGGCGGGGGCCACTAATAATGGAGAACTTTGGCAGGGCCCTTCATAGACAAGGACGACGAGCATACAGGTGCACAATTCCTGAATAGGCGGCGAGGCCAATTTCGGGGGGGCAACCGGACGGGCAACCCGTCGGCTGGTGGGGGCAACGCTGTCACCCTGATCCTGGCAGGGGCAGCCCTCACAGGGCAACCCTGATGGGGGCAACCCTGGCGGGCCGATTCTGGCAGAGGCAACCCTGGTGGGGGCGAACCTCAAAGACAACCTTGGTGGGGGCAACCCTGGCGGGGGCAATTGTGGTGGGGGCAACCCTGGTGGGGGCGGGGGCAACCCTGTCGGGGGCAACCCTGGCGGGGGCAACCTTGGCGGGCCAACCCTGGCGGGGGCAACCCTGGTGGGGGCAACCCTCACAGAGCAACCCTGGTGGGGGCAACCCTGGCGGGCCGATTCTGGCAGAGGCAACCCTGGTACAACCCTGGTGGGGGCAACCCTGGCGGGGGCAACCCTGGCAGGGGCAAGGTGAGGTGATGAACACAATCTGACCCTGGCGGGGGACACTAATGGAGAACTTTGCCTTCATACAAGGACGACGAAGCATACAGGTGCACAATTCCTGAATAGGCGGCGAGGCCGATTTCAGGAGGGGGCAACCCTAGTAGGCTGGGGGCAACGCTGTCACCCTGGTGGGGGCAACCCTGGCAGGGGCAACCCTGGCTGGCGGGGGCAACCCTGACGAAAAAACCCTGGTGGGGGCAACCCTGGCGGTGGCCTGGTGGGGGCAACCCTGGCGGGGGCAACCCTGGCGGGGGCAACCCTGGCGGGGCAACCCTGGCGAGGGCAACCCTGGCGGGGCAACACTGGCGGGGGGCGGGGCAACCCTGGCGGGGGCAACCCTGGCGGGGGCAATCCTGGCGGGGGCAACCCTGGCGGGGGCAACCCTGGCGGGGACAACCCTGGCGGGGGCAGCTGGCGGGGGCAACGCTGGCAGGGGCAACTCCGTCGTGGGGGGAACGGCGGGGGCAACTCTGGGGGGGGGCAACCCTGGCGGGGGCAACCCTGGCGGGGCAACCTTGGCGGGGGCAACCTGGCGGGGGCGCAACAGCTTCTTAGGCCCGACCTCCCCCGCCAGGGTCGCGCGTTGGGGGTTTAGGGTTAATCCATTATTACATTGTGCCCTATGGCTAGCAGGGATGCATCAGGTGTGGCAAGCTCGATCTGCTTGGCAAAGCAAGCAGATCTCGAAGCGGTAGCGTTCAGTTGTACCGGCCGCCGCCTGGCGCGGGCGGCCTATGGTTTAGGGTTTAGGGTTTAGGGTTTAGGGTTTAGGGTTTAGGGTTTAGGGTTTAGGGTTTAGGGTTTAGGGTTTAGGGTTTAGGGTTTAGGGACTGGGGTGCAGGGTTTGGAGCTCAGGGTACTCGGTTCAGGGGGTGTGTTGGGGTTGGCAGCATCCTCAGCCTGCTCCCACCTAAGCTGTACATCGTGAAAAGCTTGAAGCCCGTTGCAATTCTTGTGCCCTAAACCCTAAACCCTAAACCCTAAACCCGAAGCCCGAAACCCTAAACCCTAAACTCCTGAACCCTAACCCCCCAAAGCCCCGCACGCTGTCAGGCCATGGGATGCATGCCACCCTCCCTGCACCTGCACAAGCTCAACCCGCACATCCTGGCCGACGTTCCTGGTCTTGCAGAGTTTAGGGTTTAGGGTTTAGGGTTTAGGGCTAATTTATATAGGGGGCCTGAATGAGCTCAATCCGCACATCCTTGCCGACGTGCCTGGTTTTTCCTCAGTCGGGGTGTTGGGGTTTGAGGTGTTACAGTCTCGGGTTTGGGGCGTTTAGAGTGTTTGGGGTTAGGGGTTTGGGGTGCTTGGGGTTGAGGGGTTTGGGGTTCAGGTTTTTGGGCTTGGGGTTTGGGGTGTAGAGCTTTAGCTTAGGACCTCGTGAACCTCAAGCCGCACACCTGCCCCCCATGAACCCCCCTCCCTTAAGACCCCTAAACCCTAAACCCTAAACCCTAAACCCTAAACCCTAAACCCTAAACCCTAAACCCTAAACCCTAAACCCTAAACCCTAAACCCTAAACCCTAGACCCTAAACTGATTAGGGTGCCCTTCGAAAGGGAGGCATGGGATGGCGAGGTGATAGCTTCAGGTTTGGGAGGCTTAGGGTTTAGGGGTTCATTGCTTTGGGGGTTTAGGGTTTAGGGTTTAGGGTTTGGAGTTAGGCGTTTTGTGTTCAATTGCGGGGGTTTTTTGAAGGCATTGTAGCCAGAGAGGGCCACCACTGCTTTGGCCCAGGACGGGGTTCCCATGTTCCTGTCCACTGAGCATGTGCCCGGTGCTTACGAACAGCTGCTAGGGTTTAGGGTTTCGGGTTTAGGGTGTAGGGTGTAGGGTTGATGACTGGGCGTGTTTCTGAAGAGGGTTAGGTTCAGGGTTGTGTGTCGCAACCCATAAGCCCGAAACCCTCATCATCCCGAATCCTAAGAAGCTGCAGGAACTCTTGCACAGCAAAGCATCCCCCCCCCCCCATCCATCCCCCCCCCCCTTGCCCCCCCCGTCTCCCCCCCAGCCCTGGCCCATCCCCCCATCCCCATCCCCCCCATCCCCCCATCCCCCCCCCGCCCCCCTCGCCTCCACACACCCCCAACCCCAATCCTAGAGCCTACAATGCCCTGGTTGCGGACATCTCAGCTCTTAATCCCTCACTGGATAAACACTCAAACCCTAGACCCCAGGCGCTCACGCGCATGCAGCCAATGTGGGGAAATCTTAAAGGATGTAGGGCTGCCCAAGCCCAAAGCCCCAACACCCAACACCCAAACCCTTAAACCCTAAACCCTAAACCCTAAACCCTAAACCCTAAACCCTAAACCCTAAACCCTAAACCCTAAACCCTAAACCCTAAACCCTAAACCCTAAACCCTAAACCCTAAACCCTAAACCCTAAACCCTAAACCCTAAACTCAAGATTTCTTTAAGCCCAGGGTTTAGGGCTCAAGGTGTGGGATGCCTCGAGGTTTGGGATGTGGGCTTACCAGGGTCGCCGAAAGCGATTTTTTGTGCAGGGCTGCTTCGGGCGTAGGGTTTTAGGGTTCAGGGTTCTGGGGGTCCTAAAAGCCTCAGGGGCGTCTGAAAGATGCCCAGCTCAATAGTGCGCCTTTTGCGGTGTAGAGTTCAGGGTTTAGGGTTGCTATGTTGGAGATGTCTTTTGGAATGACCCTCAACCCTCAACCCTCAACCCTCAACCCTCAACCCTCAACCCTCAACCCTCAACCCTCAACCCTCAACCCTCAACCCTCAACCCTCAACCCTAAACCCTAAACCCTAACCCTATACCCCCCTAAACCTAAACCTATACCTAAACCCTAAACCCTCAACCCTAACCCTAAACCCTAAACCCTAACCCTAAACCCTAAACCCTAAAACCCTAAACCCTAAACCCTAAACCCTAAACCCTAAACCCTAAACCCTAAACCCTAAACCCTAAACCCTAAACCCTAACTCCCTGAGCCCCAGTCCCCTTAGGCCACATCGGATGAACTCGGCCTTTGTGGCCTGCACGGCCTGCGGCATCGGCGGGTCAAACGTGACTCGGCCTGGGTTTAGGGTTTAGGGTTTAGGGTTTAGGGTTTAGGGTTTAGGGTTTAGGGTTTAGGGTTTAGGGTTTAGGGTTTAGGGTTCATAGAGGCAACAGGTTTGTAGGGATTTACAGGGTATGCTGGGTGTGCAGGGTTGGTGGGGTTTCTGGGGCTTGCAGGGCTTAGGTGCCATTGGGGGTGAGGGTGTCGCCATGGATTTGTGGCCTTTGGTTGCGCCTGAGAATTTCCCTGGCTCTTGCGCGCTGGATGAACCCGAGACCCCATAAGGCCTAAACGTCGGAAGTTCCTCGACAAAACCACCTGAGCGGTCGTAGTAGGGGCTTTAGGGGTTTAGGGTTTTGGGGTTTAGGGTTTTGGGGTTTAGGGTTTTGGGTGGCTTTAGGGGTTTAGGGTTTTGGGGTTTAGGGTTCAGGGCTTTGGGGTTCAGGGCTCAGGGGTTGGGGGTCTTGGGGTGTAGGGCTTTGTAGGGTCTCGACTACTCGAACCAAGGCTTTCCGCTGTGAAGCTTGGGTTCCCGCCCGACCCACGCGACCAGTACCACCACGGCTTCATTAGCGGGTTTACCCTAAACCCTAAACCCTAAACCCTAAACCCTAAACCCTAAACCCTAAACCCTAAACCCTAAACCCTAAACCCTAAACCCTAAACCCTAAACCCTACACCCTACACCCTACACCCTAAACCCTCAACCCTCAACCCTCAACCCTCAACCCTAAACCCTAAACTTCAGGCCCACGCCATTCTCTGGGGCCGGGCGTGCGCCAGGCCATCGTGAGCTCGAAGGGCTTTAGTCCACAAAGGGGTTTAGGGTTAGGGTTTAGGGTTTAGGGTTTACGGGCATCATGCCGGGCCGGGGGTTGGGGATTAGGGGTGAGGGTTCAGGGTTTAGGGTTTAGGGTTTAGGGTTTAGGGTTTAGGGTTTAGGGTTTAGGGTTTAGGGTTTAGGGTTTAGGGTTTAGGGTTTAGGGTTTAGGGTGGCACGCCGACAACGACAACTAGAAACGCGAAGACGAAGTTTAAGCGCAGAATGCTGTGGGCGCATCCCGAATGCCAACCAACCCTTTTAAAACCTAAGCCCCGATCCTTCCCCTGAGCCCTTCAATCTAAGCATACTTCAGCCTTAACACATTCAACTTTTCAAGCTCGTAACCGCCCCGCGGCTTTTTGGTGGCGCTGCCACCGCCAACCCCCTTTTTCTTCCGTTTATTATGGCTTGCGAAGCAACCCTAAACCCTGATGACCCCTCCCCTCCTCGCCCTCTTGGCAGGCAAGTGAAGATGGAGAAAGCTGTGCAGGCCGAGGACACCAACCCCCTCCCCCCCCAAAACTTATTCTAAACCCTAAACCCTAAACCCTAAACCCTAAACCCTAAACCCTAAACCCTAAACCCTAAACCCTGAACCCTAAGCCCTAAATCCTAAACCCTAAACCCTAAACCCTAAACCGCCAACGATCTCGCCTTCTGCGGGTCCATTGGGCGGCCTCGTGCCTCGCAGAGGCGTCTCAGCGACTCCAGTATATTCAATCTGATCTGCCCCCCTCCAATATGGACTTCCACAACAATTATTTTCGTATACCGAACGCACAAGAAATTCTCCTGGCACACGGCAGTACCACTACAAGACTTTATAGAGTTCTGGCACCAGCTGCGATTGACAGAAGACAGTGGCAACTCCTCCTTAACAAACCTTGTAAATCCCGAGTCACTTCCCATTGAGAGCTTTGTTTAGGGTTCATTTATTTTGGCTGCTTATTTTTCGCTTTCTCATAATACTGCTCTGAATCATGTCGGTGCTGACGGCTGCTACACTGCAGCTTTCGCGTTGAAAGAAAACTTATTGCCAACTTGTTGCGAGTTTTTTCCTCAGTTTTCTCGGGACTTGTTGCTTAGGGGTTTTGGGTTTAGGGTTTAGGGTTTAGGGTTTAGGGTTTGGAAGGCTCTGATCGCGTAGGGTGGGTGGGTGGGTGGGGGGGGTGGGCGTGGGTAAGGATCCTCGTGGCCCAGCCAAGAGGCTGTGCTACAGCTGAAGCTTCCGAACCCGAAACCCTAATGCCTGGGTTCTCTCCAACCTAAAACCCAAAACCGAACACCCTCAACTCTGATCCTTGAGGCCCTGAACCTGAAAACCTTCAACCCCTCAACCCACAAACCAGAACCCGCTAATTCCACCCCCTGCCTTAAACCCTAAACCCTAAACCCTAAACCCTAAACCCTAAACCCTAAACCCTAAACCCTAAACCCTAAACCCTAAACCCTAAACCCTAAACCTAAACCCTAAACCCTAAACCCTAAACCCTGTGAGCCCTCTTCCCTGTATGCCCAAATACCCCACTCCTTCAAACGTAACACAATGCCGCAACTTAAGCAGGGTTTCGGGTCTAGGACTTCCGGGTTAGGGTTACCCTACAATCTAGATCCTAAACCTGAACCCCTAAACCCTAAGCCACTAAACCCCTAAGCCCCTCAACCCTAAACCCCCAAACCTCCAAACCCCTAAACCCCCAAACCCCCAAACCCTAAACCCCCAAACCTTATACACCCTAAACCTAAACCCTAAACCCTGAACCCTAAACCCTAAACACCCTAGACCGTAAACCCTCAACACCCTAAAACAAACCCTAAACCCTAAACTCTGAAGCCCCACCCCCGGCTTAAGAATCGAAACCCTACACCCCTTAACCCTAAACCCTAAACCCCAAACCCTACATCCAAAACCTAACCCCCAAACCCTAAACCCTAAACCCTACACCCCTTAACCCCAAACCCTAAACCCCAAACCCTACATCCAAAACCTAAATCCCAAACCCTAAACCCTAAACCCGAAACCCTAAACCTAAACCCGAAACCCTAAACCCTAAACCCTAAGCCCTAAACCCTAAACCTAAACCCTAAACCCTAAACCCTAGACCCTGAATCCTAAACCCTAAACCCTAAACCCTAAGCCCTAAACCTTATGCGGCTTTGTTCGCGTCTGGAGAACGCTGACGTTCCGCCCGTAAAAAGGTGATTCCAGCTAAAAAACAACCCTATGCGGAGGAGGTGCTCTCCTTCTGGCCTGGCGGCGGAGGGGAGCTGGATCCTGCCTGTGAGCCGCGGAGAGGCCCAGGGGCGGACCATTATAAACAGGGGTTGAGGGTTCAGGGTTTAGGGTTTAGGGTTTAGGGGTTTAGGGGTTTAGGGGTTTAGGGGTTTAGGGGTTTAGGGGTTTAGGGGTTTAGGGGGTTTAGGGTTTAGGGGGTTTGGGGGGGGTTTTGGGGGTTTGGGATTTAGGGGTGTAGGGTTTGGGGGTTAAAGCTGGCGGCACCCAAAGGCGGCAGGAACGTCACCAGCACGACATTCTCCAGCAAGTGGCACAGCGTTCTGGACCTGCCTCGTGAGGACCTACAGAAGGTGCTGCTTTGCAGATGCACTGAAGACATCATGCCTTTCGACATGTGCAGCACATTGTAGGGAGCACGCACGCTGTGTGGTTTCTTGGGGTTCTGCACTAATTAAACAGATCCAGCATAGGTTCAAGATGGAACCCAGCTTCATGAAGAAGTTTATTCCCAGGATCCTCCTGGTCCAAACCCTACATCCCCAGAGCCTGAAAGCCGAAAAGCCCTCAGCATGTCAGGTGTTCGCATCTCTTGCAACACCCTAAGCACTAGGTGCCGTCAGCACCCCCTTAAGCAGCCCCTTAAGCCCTACGTCCTACGCCCTCAGCCCAAAGCTCAAGATGGAACCGAGCTTCATGAACAAGGCACAGATCCAACACCTCGAGAAGGCAGACCTTCTCCTGCTATTGGAGTAATGGTCAAGGACGCCCTTCAAGGGAGTCACTGGTGGATCGCAATCGCTTTTTTGGTCTCCGGCTATGACTTCAAGTCGCCCGAGCACTACCCAAAGGACGCTGCGCAGGGACGCGAAGCTGTCTTCGACGGCCTTTGCTGGAAGCTGCTGCCGACCTTGCCGTATCACAGCTACTTTAAGGAGGCCGAGTGGCACATCATTCTCGAAGATGATTGCGAAATCACCGTTCGAGGTGAAGACACTGTTCCTAATTTGCTTCAGAAATTCGCAGAGGCAGATCTTACTTTCCTGAAACCCCAAACCTTTATATACTAGGACCCAGAGTAGGCCCTTATTCCTTTTTTGGGGGTTTAGGTTCCCTTGTAAGCGCCTCTAATCGAAAAAGGGCACCCTCTTTATTCCCAGGAGACTCCTGGGCTTGGCCTTTCATCGCCAAACTTGCCAAAGCCTCAAGCCGGCCAAACCCTACAGCTCGAAGGCCAGAAGGCCTTAAGCCCTGAACCCTGCAAAACCGCAAACGCTCTGAAGCCCTAAGTCTCCAGGCCCTTAAGTCTAAAAGCCCTCATCATGTCAGGCGTTCGCATCTCTTGCAACACCCTAAGCCCTAAGCCCTAAGCCCCCCTACAGCCTCCTAAGTCCTCAGCCCTAAGCACAAAGCCCCAAGCCCCAAGCCCGAAACCCTAAACCCGAAACCCTAAACCCTAAAAACCCTAAACCCTAAACCCCCAAGCCCCAACCCTAAACCCTAAACCCTAAACCTTAAACCCTAAACCCTAAACCCTAAACCCTAAACCCTAAACCCTAAACCCTAAACCCTAAACCCTAAACCCTAAACCCTAAACCCTAAACCCTAAACCCTAAACCCTAAACCCTAAACCCTAAACCCTAAACCCTAAACCCTAAACCCTAAACCCTAAACCCTAAACCCTAAACCCTAAACCCTAAACCCTAAGCCCTAAACCCTAAACCCTAAACCCTAAACCCTAAACCCTAAACCCTAAGCCCTAAGCCCTAAGCCCTAAGCCCTAAACCCTAAACTCTAAACCCTAAGCCCTGAGCCCTCAGCCCTAAGCCCTAAACCCGAAACCCTAAACCCTAAACCCTAAACCCTAAACCCTAAACCCTAAACCCTAAACCCTAAACCCTAAACGCCCATGTCAGGCGTTAGCATCTCGGGCTCATGGAACCTCCCGGACCAGTGCGAGCGCATGAGGGGCGAGGGCATGGACCAGCGCGGAGACCCGAAGTGGGCGGGAGTCGAAGTGGAGGGTTTCGGGATTAGGGTTGCGGGTTTAGGGTTTAGGGTTTCGGGTTTCGGGTTTAGGGTTTCGGGTTTAGGGTTTAGGGTTTAGGGTTTGTTTAGGGTTTCGGGTTTTGGGGGTTCGAAGTTTGGGGTGAAGGAAGTGGGGTGTTGGAAAGTAGATGTCAGGACTTTTGGGGTTCGTGGTGTGGAGGTTTTCACTTTTCAGGGGTCGTTTTTCTGTCTCGGAGTTATTCGGGGTGTAAGTAGGGTTTTAGGGGTATCCGGTCTTGGAGGTTTCCAGGCCTTCGGGCAACAAGTCCTGGCCCCTAAGCCCCAAAGCCCCCAAACCCTAAACCCAAAATCTTTCCTAGACCCTAAGCCCCTAGGCCCCTAAGCCCCTAAGCCCCTAAGCCCCTAAGCCCCTAAGCCCCTAAGTCCCCAAGCCCCTAAGCCCCTAAACCCCCAAACCCTAAACCCCAAATGCTTCAAAACGACCTGACCGAGATTGATCGAGGTTCTGCTTCACGCTGACATTGGGGGAGCACGGCTGCGAGTGGTTCCAAATGTGGCTAGACGGTGGCTTCAACTGCACCTGGAGGGAGGTATGGGTGTTAGGGTTTATCGGGTTTAAGAGGGTTTAGGGTTTAGGGTTTGGGGTTTGGGGTTTGGGGTTTGGGGTATAGGGTTTAGGGTTTGGGGTTTAGGGTTTAGTGTTTGAGGCTTGGGGTTTTAGGCTTTAGGGTTTAGGGTTTGGGGTTGGGGGTTTAGGGTTTAGGGTTTTAGGGTTGGGGCTTGGGGTTTTAGGGTTTAGGGTTTGGGGTCTAGGGTTTTGGGTTCGCGTTTCTCCTAAGCCCTGAACACCCTGTCTAAACACGGTTGCCCTCAACCGTACACCCTTAACCCTTACGTAGATCCTCAGCACAAGAACCCCTAAACCCCAAATCCTGAACTCTACGCCCAACACCCTTAACCCTGAAGCACTAAACCACTGAAACTCTGAACCCTACTTTTTGGGTTCTTTTTTTAGGGTCCTTAAGGAGGGGGGGGGGTTTCATGGGGGGGTAGGTACCTATGGGGAACCTTCCCGAAGGAGTGGAGGGCATCATGCGAACTCGATTCGTAGCCCCAGCCACCATTGCTGGCAGTCCAGAAGCCGTTGGACATTACAGTCAAGCCACCCCGTGGAGTGATGAAGGGTCGTTCGTTCAAACACTGGACCCTGTGACGAGTTCCGCAAAATGGCAATGTCCAGTCACTGCGCAAGGATATTGCAGCAGACCTGCTCCCTCAGCCTCATTTTGTCCTGAAGACTGGGGGAGGAGAGGATGCACGACAACAGTGCACCATTCACGGCGTCGTTCATTTCAAACGGGACCACAAGTACGTCACGCACAGTTCCCTAGGTACTTGCTCCCCATGAGCCGCCCTCCCATAAGGACCCTAAACCCTAAACCCTAAACCCTAAACCCTAAACCTTAAACCCTAAACCCTAAACCCTCAACCCTCAACCCTCAACCCTAAACCCTAAACCCTACCGCCCCACATCGGGTTTTCAGGGCTTAGAGTTTAGCAGGTGCGGGGGCCGCGGTTTGGGGTGTGTTTCTCGGCTCCACAGCGGTCCTGAAGGTCGGGCATTTGTATCTGCATAAGGGTAGTCCTCTAAGTTAAGGTTTAGGTGGGTAGTTCTCTAACTTCGGGTCCCTTTTTTGGGATCCCTTTTTAGAGGGTGCCGCGTCATGATGGGTACCCAAAACGGACCCTAATTTAGGAAGCACTTTAGGGCCCAATTATTGCCCATTAGATATAACATATTTTGTTGTTTAGATATGTGGATGCTTTGGGACCCAAGTACATAATCATATGGTACATGGACCCTTTGGGTATATATATATATGTATGTATGTATGTATGAATGAATGAATGAATGTATGTATGTATGTTGTATGCATGCGTGCTCATATATCGACCTTTGTATGTAGATCATCCTTTTTAAGAAGTTTTGGCTTAGTTTTAGTGATTGTTGTGTGTTTTTTTGTTGTGTGTGTGTGTGTGTGTTTCTTGGGGGCTTTCGGGTTCTAGGGTTTGACAGGCTTCGGGTTTAGGGTGTAGGGTTGAGGGTTTAGGGTCCTGAAATGCGAGGTGAAAAGGATCGAGTGCTTCATCCTGGCGTGCTGCGGGGCGCTGGCGAGGAGTCCAGCGCCCAAACTCCTAAACCCCCAACCCCCAAACCCCTAAACCCTAAACCCCAAACCCTAAACCCTAAACCCTAAACCCTAAACCCTAAACCCTCAACCCTAAGCAGAGCTTTGAAGTGTCAGGAGAAGGTGCAGGGCCCACATGCCTTCTGCCAGGCGGGGAAAGGCTGAGGTATGGGTATTAGGGTTTGTATATCGGGTTTGGTAGGCTTTAGGGTTTGGGGTTTAGGGTCAGGGGTTTAAGGTGTGGAATTGGTTGTTTTGGGTTTAGGGCTTAGGGATAAGGGTATGTTTAGGGGTTGAGGGTTTTGGGCAGGGTTCTGGCTTCAGGGTTTGGGGTTTGGGGTTCAGTGCTTACGGTATTTATTAGATTTGGCCCTAAACCCTACACCCTACACCCTACACCCTAAACCCTAAACCCTAAACCCCAAACCCTAAACCCTAAACCCTAAACCCTCATCCCAAAACCATGGCATCTGCAAGAGCGGAGACGCGCAGTTGGCCGATCGGGGTCAAGCTTAAACCCCTGCAAGCTCTGGAGTGACAGCACGGCTGTCAGGGCTCAAGGGTTTTGAGTTTAGGGTTCAGGGTTTAGGGTTTAGGGTTCAGGAGCCAACCTCTGCAATTTTCTGGAGGGGTCCCTTGAATACGGAAACGGCGAGAGCACTGACTCATGAAAGCGACAGCTCTTGCGAATCGCACTGCCACCATCATAGCAGGCACCCTGAACCCCAAATCTTTACACTCTTCTTTTCGGGTTTAGGGTTAGGGTTTAGGGTTTAGGGTTTAGGGTTTAGGGTTTAGGGTTTAGGGTTTAGGGTTTAGGGTTTAGGGTTTAGGGTTTAGGGTTTAGGGTTTAGGGTTTAGGGTTTAGGGTTTAGGCGGGCACCCGGCGTTCTCCCAGATGCCCCCCAAAAAGGCTCCTAGTTTAGGTCTCATCCTCAAACCTCGCTTACTCCCAGGAGCTTCAACTCTGCAACCCCAAGCAGCTAAAGCCATTGGGTTTAGGGTTTAGGGTTTAGGGTTTAGGGTTTAGGGTTTAGGGTTTAGGCATGTCTCATCATCACTCAACTGTCTTGGCTCCTGGAGACTAAGCTCTAAATGCTGGACCATTGAAGCCTTAACCTTTTTAACACCCCCAAACCCTTCCAGATCCTTATATGGTCAAGCCCTAAACCCCAAAACCGCCCCGCCCCCCACATGTCCAAAAAGTGTCCCGC